TTAGATTCTTTATTGAATAATGAAGAGAATGAAACTTATGATACAATTAGTTTTTTAATTGAGAATACTGGAAATATTGAAGAGATAAATGATAATTCTCCTTTAGCGAATGATATTATTAATTTGAATCAAACATTATTATTGAATGACTGAGATAAAACAACTCTTAAAAAACAAAGAAAAATGAAATATAAAGAAAAAGAATATAATCAAATAGAAGAAGAAATATGATTAGAAACAGATATTAACAAACTAAAAAATGATTTTAATATACAAATAAACAATTTGAAAGAAGAATTTTTAACAAAATCAAAAGATGATCTTTATTGAAAAATTGAATCAAGAATAAATGAATTAGAATCAACACCAAAACAACCTAAACGTCCAATTGAAGATGAAGAAGATATTCCAACAAGAAATATCAATAAAGCTTCAGAAGCAAGAAGTCTAATAGGTAATAATATTAGACAAATAAATTATATTATATCAGAATATAAAAAGATATTAAATGATGATAATAAGAGATTTTTTAATAGAGTTAAAACAAGTAATGTTAGACAAATGATAAAAGAAGCATATAAGAAGAGTTTAGACAAAAGATCATTGCTAAATGTTTTTTACAATATCTGGGTTCTTTCTAAAGATGATAAATTTTTATTGAGTAAAGGATTCACTAAAAAAAAGATACAAGAAGGAAAAAAATTATCTGAAGATATTAATGAGTATCTATATGCAAATACTAAAAGATTAAGAAGCATAAAACTTCCTAAATTAAAAAAGAAAAGTAGATATAATCTAATGGAAACTCGACCAAGAATATATTTAAAATCAACTCAAAGTTTTTTGATGAATCTATTAGGGTTTCCAGAAGAGAAAATTGATAATATTAAAAACATACAAGTTATAATTGATCAATATAAAAAATCATTAAATAATCCTTTTGATATTTTAGAAAATGATATTAATATTCTTCAAGATACGTTAACTGAGTATATGTTAAATTATAATAGTAAAGATGAAAAGAAAAAGTATTTAGATAAAATTACTAGAATACTTCTTAAAAATGAAATTAAACCTGAAGATGATGATATAATAGATATTTTTAATTCATTTGATTTTATATATTAATAGTGTCAATATTTTATAAATATATATTCTTTATTTTTAAAAATATATAAATTAATTCTTTAAACTATTTTTTAAATAAATTATGGATGAAATTAAAACAAAAATCGATGTTATTGAAATGT